CTTTAACGCCTGATGTTCACGCAAATGTTGTTAGCATGCAGAAACTATGTTATCGTTGATTACTCCCCTATAGATACCTCTCGAACTCCTGATCAGAATTTTCTGCACTATCCAGAAGCGATAGATCGCAATCACTCAAATCTCCAAATTCACTGCCATCGGTGGACGATGCGGCAGAACCCAATGAAGGTGCTTTACGGAAGTCCAGGGAATAAAAAGTGCCCTATGAACATTTATTCAGTATTGGAGATTAGATTTGAAATTCAAAATTAGAAGAGTGTATACCTCAAGTGGGGTTGGCACATTCCAAAACGAAGCACGGTCGATCAGATTATTCACGACGTCCTTGATAGTTGCACCCTCGGACTTAAACTTTCATTGGAAGAACACTGTATGAGAATCTAGGCCGTTTTAACACAAAGAAAAATGCAATTTGAATGTTAAGTACTATAAAAGCTTACCTCTGGAGAAGATAAGCTGCAGGAAGAAGACGCCTCTCCAGCTGCAACAGGAGTGGAGTTCGTATTTGGCCCCTCCATCCCAAACTAAAGTTCTAGGCAGTTTGATGCGAAATAAATTCGACGACCTTTGAAGCAACGGTTGCGCTCCAATGACAAATTAAAGGACGCATGTTTTCTCTAACACTCCTCCAATGACCACGTTGAAGACCGTTCTCTGCGTTGTCCTGCTGCGTTGGTCCAGATATTTAGCAAATTGCATTGCAAAACTCATGCGCAGTTCAGGAAGTAGTTGTGTCTTTTCATATCGCCATGCAGAAGTTGGAGGCACATCTGTGCTGCAGTCGCCGAATTCATGAGTTAACATCACAATATCGGCTTTGTGTTAAACGCCGCTTCCACTTTTCTCAGAGGTAAGTGTACAGGTTTTGGGTGGGATTTCTATATTTTCAATCGGTTGCAGAGCATGGACGGTTGCTAACTACTTCGAAGATCTTAAAATACGTGGTCTTGTCCGCTCTTCGTATCCCTCAAATCTAGACACCGCTTTTGCAAACGATTTACAGTGAGTTTGTCTATTTGGTATGTTTCACCGCTTAAGACTTAACGCTCAAGACTTGTTTATGAGTGTGCTATTGCTACTCCTATATTGATTGTGATGATAGCTTAACGGTTTCCACGGCGAAACAAACGTGCAAAGTGTAGTTCATTCATAAAATCATGGCCACGGATTTGACTGTGGTTTTGCGCCCAAAGGAGCATAAAATTGATGCCAGAAGAAATCACTTTGATGTTTGGCTCGGTCAACTCCAGTGCCCAAGCATTATCTATGTAAGCAAAACCCGTTCGAGGAAAGAGGAAAACCAAATGTGGTTGTCAGAAGTTAGCGCACGCACGCGGCGGCGCCATCGCTATCTCCTTTTTTTTCATATTTTTTTCATTTCTTGGAGAAAA